TCATCTGTATCGTTCCCGTGAAACCTTATTCAACGTGTTATAATGGCATCACGTTGTCTGCCTGCTCTGTCCAAAATAGCTGCTTGATTGCTTGCGGTATCTTCATCGTTTTCTCGACATTGCGCAGCCGTCGCCATGCTACCACGCGCAGCTGTTAGGTGTGAAGGAGGTTTTTGCGGATGACTTTTCGAAGTCTGCCTGTCCTCCAGGAGCCTGCGCGGCCCCGTTTTATCCAGACGACGACCGAAACCGAATAACTTTCAATAACTACGATACCATGGGGGAGGTTAAGATTTACGGAAAAGATCGCAAACCATCCTTTCTCATCTGGGCTTCGGGCCGGCAACAATGTTGTTTCACTGACTAGTTCTTTTGAGTACTCTAATACATTTTCAAGTTTACTTAACGTCAGTTGATGACCAGTATAGAAATCTAACTTTAACATAATAGTAGATTGGGCTGCTCAATTTGTAGCGTTGTACTGAGAATCAAGAGTTCAGGATTCGAGCCACGGTCAAGTAAGTAATTTGCGTTCCTTCGCTTCACTGTTGATAAATTAGTACCAATCCATGGGAAGGAAGTAGTTATTACATAGCTGTAGGTTCTGCCTTTAAAATAAGGCACTTCTGGCTGATTGCATCTAAGAAAAAATCGGCGTTACACCATTAACGTCATGAAATGACGGACCCTCGGAAAAACGGTCTTATCGTGAAAGCGTAACTGAAACCACAATTCAGCGGTTACACTGTTTCCTTTCCATGGGGTTAGCAGGTATAGAAAGCGAGCTGGCAAGATGCTACCAGACCACATCATTTTTGAGTACAGTAGAGAGGTTAGGTGTTTAGAGGTTGGTCAGACCACTTACTGCAGATGTTCTGTTGCTGATTCAGCCTGCTCGTGGTTCATCATGTTCTAGATGATGTGCGACAATGGATAGTTTTCAAATATTTCCTTCCGACAGCGCACTGTCCTTCAATTCATAAAACTGTCTTAACGAGTATTCAAGAGAGTAGAAATGTTTGCTCACATATTATATTGTACCGAACAGCTTATTAGCCGCACATTTAACATGTTCTCTTTTGATTTCTATTAGATGTAGTGTTTTCCTTTTGGATGGATTAGCAGCCATGTTTACTGATACTTCTGGCGAACATACGAAGAACTTTCAAGCCGCATGTGTTAATTTCTCTATCTCTGTGGGACTGCGTACTTATGGCCTAGGTAAAAATATGCTCCACGACTTCCATTTCATCGCGGTAACAGGATAGAATTCTGTTAACTTTTTTTGACAACTGTTTTGTTAATTTCCCAAAAAAACAAGAAATTCTTTCACCACATTGTTTACCATCTGAACAGAAAATGGACCACGGGACTCATAAGCAGCACGAACAGAAAACTTGGACAAGAGGATGCATGCTGGATATCAAAAAATAGGTAGAAAACTTCTTAGTACGTGTTCGACCATCCAACCATAGAAAATCTGACATTGTGACTTTCGTCAAGCTGGTATATTCTGTCGCTATAACACGGAATGGAGGTTGACAAAGTAAATTTGAAACTTGCTTCATAGTAAACAAAAATAGTAAAGCACCGTAAAAGCAATTAAAAAAACAAAATGCGAAATTCATCTGTAGCTTCCTAAACATGTTCAGTGTTGGCGTCAGCGTGTAATGAAAGTTTAAAAACTTTCTCAACAAAGTGGCAAGCAGAACTAAAGCCTAAACAGTATGGCTGGTAATGGTCCGGAGTCATTACTGGTAGCATTCGTCACAACTCGTCCATCTTTTCAGCTTCCACCTCAGCCTCATCAGTTATGATCACGTTCCTAGGGCTAACGAACACTCCATGTTTGTCCTGGCACTGAAAATATCGTTGGCCGTCGACAGAGCCGTCGTGTTTTCCAAGCGGTTCATCGTATGTTATCCCGATCCATACGCCGGCCTTAAAGTGAACTTTGCCTAAAATCATGTTCGGTGTTAACGCAGATATGGATAACTATTAATTAGAAAGATTTACTATGACAGCCAAAAACAACCTGTAGCAAGTGTATGGAAAGGATTCTGTCAAATATCATATGCTGGCACAGGATCAAGAACATTTGACACCTTCTGACACTTTTGCTTCCGCACTTCCGGAATGAAAGTTTGTCACCGTTGGAACGTCGATCTTCCTTCAGTTTCATGATTGAACCATTTTGGCGCCTTTCTTTCAATAAAGTTGATGGTGTGGTGCTGATTTCCGTTTTTTGCCATCAGCCAAAAGTGCCTTAGTTTAAAGGTAGAGTCTGTAGCCATGTGGCAAGCGAAGCGTGTAGTCTTCAGTTTCTCTCCCACAGAGTGGTACTCGTTTATGAACCTTGGAAGAAAGAAGGGCGAATGGCCCAGGTAGGGACTCGGAACCTATTTCTGAGTTCGACGCTCTACCGACTGAGTAACAGTGGTCTGACGCAACGTGTGATAAATTCCTTGCTCATGAATATTTACGAATCAGATGAAGATTGCCCTCGAGGGGAATCGAACGCGGCACCTTTGGAGTTACAAGTAGACCTCTTAGACAACTGTGCCAACACATCATACAGCACAGTCAAGAAACGATGCGAAAAGACCTCCGGTATTGTGCAGGAGGAGCGCAGGAAGAATATGGCAGAGTGCATCGGCATCATATGCGAGTGACACTGGGTGAATCGATATGGTACGTTGTAGAGAGATATCTGAGAGAGCTTTGGTGTAGAGTCACTGTTTTTCCAGCTTGAGAAGTCACGGCTGCGATGGATAGGACACCTTTCATAAATGCCTCCAGAAAGCACGGCGAAACAGCTGCTACTTCCTCAATTGACCGATTGAGGACCCCGGGTGACCAAGAAAAGCCTGGGACAAGTGTCTCAAAGGACCCTTCTCCCGACTCAGATTATCTTCTGCCGAAGATGAAACGCTGGCACAACATCGGGAGCACTGGAGGCACTGTCTGACGTGTCTGTATCCGTGACCCGAACGGAAAAACGGTCCTTGAAACTGACTACTTGGCTGATATTCCATGATTATTAATTTTTGCTTAATGGAAATGGAAAGAGTACAGAAAAGTTTGTAAACGTGCCGTTATCAGTCAAGTCTTCCATAAACTTTCACTACACGCTATTTCTGACATCCTTTCTTCATGAGTCATGTAATGAAGTGTTGAGAGTCGTTTCAACTGCAACTACGAGGATCCCATTAAGTATAGTGCCTTCAATTTGTTAGAGCAATATTTACAGCTGAGTGGCTAGCATTGTCTCATGGATCCTTTTCACATAATAATACTCATTTCCATAGGATGAAAGGTGATTAACCTGACCAAACTTCATAACCGACACCCTCTGATAACGAGGTCTGCGCTCTATCGACTGTTCTACAATTGTTAACCTTTGCTCTGACTGACCTAGCAGGAAAATAATTTAAGAATGAGGAGTCAGCGGTTGCATTTTTTTTCACAAATTTATAGCTATGGCTGATCGACGAGTCTGTTGCTGTTCCCAGTATTCGATCGACCATCGTAACTTGATGATAACCATTTTGCTGATGCCATCAATGAACTTTGATATGCAACTTTGATATGCTGAAAAGTTGAATGATTCTACCTCCATCTCGTGGGCCTTTAAAACAAAGCATTTAGGTTGCTG